TACCTTAGTAAAGCCTGACCGACGCAGAAATCTCTATGGCAGATTCTCCAACATCTAGCTAGACTCCCAGAACCAGTTAAGCTGTAGCCCAGCTATAAAGGAAACAGACGTGTAGCACGGAGCACGTTTATTCAGTACGAGTATATTACGGATAAAGTGCGTACACGCATGGAGCTACTCATGATCAGGATGGGGGATTAGGTTAAACAGAGGTTGATGATTGGTCACTGTTTGTACGGTTGCACCCCCCCCCCCCCCCCCCTCCCAATCCTGGAGTGCAGGCATGTGATGACGTGTCCCACAGTAGTACTTAAAGCTGGAACGAAATCTGTTTGCACAATTTTGTCAAACCCGATCAGAAATGGGTTATTCTAAATCTCTATTTCTCTTTTTAATTCATATGCACAACGTTAAAGTAAAATTTTCCTATTTTCTGTGTATACATTTCCAAACTTCGTTTATCAGGGCATAGAAAAGCCAAACTATGAAGAGTTCGTTCTTGGAAAGAATGGATCTCACTGGAATTACTTATCGTTTTTCCTTTCAGGATGAGGAGGAGATGACTTAACTGGTTTTTATGAGCGAAAATACAAACTTATTTAAATTTTTATTAGCACTTATTTCTTACATCGGTTCGTTTTTTTATACAAGGAGAAAACTTGCATCTCAAATTGCTTAGGACGATAAAAAGGGTTCTTAAACTGCTCCTATCTTTAAAAACACAGATGTCTTAATTTGATACATCCTGAATTTGCCTTAACATTGTTAACCAAAATGAGCTCAATATTTCAGAAATAGTTGGCTTTGTCTGCTTCGTTTAGGCACTTGTCTTGTTTAGTAGTTGCTGACTCCTTTTAACATCACATCACCTGATAAGGAATGCAATGATGGCCTGAATTTTTTTGCATTGCTTTCGTGAACATTGGAACTTGGAGGAAAATAGTCTCTTTTTGGCTTCTATTGCAGCTTCTAAGTATACCTTTTCACGGGAGGTAAATACTGCACTGCTACAGGTCTACATAGGTGTAAATAATTCAGCCCATACTGGCATAAACCATTGCAACAGCGGAGCTGTTTTTACCTTCATGTCCTCTTTATGCCGCAGGCCAAATTCCTCTCTCTCACTCCCTTTCTCGCCAATCACATCACAAGCAGTGGGCTGACATTTTTTCACCAATGAGAAGCATTCCTGGATCGATGGCCGGGAAACAAATTGTTTCATATGTCAACTTAAGAAATCAAACTTTGTGTGAGTATTAAAAAAGAAGAAAAGACTCTTCAAAAACTGACCAATTTATATTTAAAGCTATATGGAATAATTTAATTAACCGCTAAAGGTTAAAGCGAATTTTATTTATTTTAAGAAATCATAAAAATTGCCATGTTATTACGAAATTAACTTTTAACATTCCTGCTGAACAGGAAAATCCCCTTTAAGATTTTTCGATTAAGAAAACTTAATTTACAACGGCAGTGGCAGATGCGATTGATCTTTTGAATAGCGCAGTATACTCGGTTTGGATTTCATCCTTTAAGCTTTTAGTTCCATTGATATTAAATGCTGCCTCTTAGTCGAAGGCGGAAATACTGAGAATCATTAGGATAAAGATCTAAGCCAGATTCAATTCAGTTTAGGGATTAAAAGAACGCCAACCACAAAACTTTAAAGCCGTACAAATGGTATTTTTTCCAGATAAGGAATTTCCGTTGGTGGTCTCTAAGTCATCCTTATAAATATACAAACACCCGCCTCACTTTACGCTACTGTCGTCAGTCGGGCAATGTCTTGACCTTCAACATCAACAAAACGAGGATGAATTGGATTGAGTAAATGGGGTTTCTGTTGAGTCAATGATGCACCCTGCATCTGTCATCTCCACCTCTGCTCAATGCCATCTTGTAGGCGCAGAAAACGGTATCAAAACAGGGTGGATGAGCTTAAGATTACAAAAGATTTGTTCCAGTAACGTACACTGTGATCTTTTTATTAGTGAAGAAAAAATTAGCGCTTCTTGGTAGAAGACAACATACGTGATACTAACTAAAAATAAATGCCTCTTGCCTAAGAGTAAATTGCTCCAAAAGCCAATTTTTCCTCTATCCAATGATATTGGCCAATCCGCTCAAAATTACTTGGTAAGTGTAAATAAGTATACTGGTGGTTTTGGGGGAGGCAAATCATTATTGATTTAAAAACGCAAAATACAGGAGGTGCTCAAAATGGACCTCCGAAAAGCTGTGTAAATAAATAGTCACGGTTTACTTACAAGCTTTCCAGGTATAGAGAATAATATTTAGTTATTTTTCAGATCTGTTCAAGGTGCTAAAACACACATAACTCTTTTTAGAAGTTTAAGCCCTTCTTCATCCATTCATGTAATGACAATGAGAATGGATGACTGGAAATCTGAAGTATGGAGTAAAATAGGTTGTATTATGATGATCAGCACGGGCTGTGCGATAGACTTACCTCCACCCTGGGCAACGTATACTCATACGACAAAAAATGTCTATTAACCGGCAGTTTACTTCTCACTTCAAAATACCATCACCCCACTGTATGCCATATTCGACTACTTCAACAGTACTCACCTCACCTTTTTTCTACCTTTGTGCCTGTCTCTTCAACATCTTTGAAACACTCTTCTATTCTCACCTTCCAATCTCGACTTTTTTTCACTTTGATGTTCCTTCCCCTCTGTGAAGCCTGAAGTTAACTAAAGGGCTAATGATAACTATCAAAACGCCTGTCATTTGATATAAATAAATGATAATAAGCACAGGTCATCAGGATTAGGAGATAATGATCATTGTACAATGCGCCCTTAACATTTTGAACTAGAGCTCTTCAATGGCGACTACGAGGCTACTGTGGACAGACTCGCATAGAAGATTTCCTTTTAAAGTTGCTGCTGAAAAGTGCCTCAAACTCCGGAATAGGAATGGGCGGTTTTGCGACAAATTTAACTAAATGTTTTGGCCTCTTCTGTGAAACGTGGACCTTTGCTATTGCTATTCATACATGCGTCGTGGAGATTAACTTCTCAAAAAAAGGGGTTACGAAAATTGTCTCGCAAAGTTGTATAAACTTTCGAGGTGAATGAGACACCCTTAATAAGACCAATATACCCGGTTCTTTTCACATGGCAAAACGCGTTGCTAAAATGAAAAGTAAAGCAGGCAGAGTAGCAGATGGCTTGGTTTGAATGCAGACAAAAGAAAGACACTTCCTGAGTCATGAGAACTAAACTTGTCCGAAATTGTCGTGGCTTTTGGAAGTGCCTTCCTCCGCCAAGGATGATGTGATACTTCGGTTTAATTCAGACTCCTAAATAAAATTGTTGACAACTGGAGTAGTTAAGCCCTGGTTAACGAACGAGGAGTCAGTTCCCTCTTACACCTCATGAGGAAATGAAGATGGTTGTCAATCACTAATCCCAATACTGGGCTATCAAACGCTCCAGATATTTACATGTTGGACTGTAATTTGTGCATTGAGAACATTGAATAAAAACGATCATCACCGTACTTGCAGTTAATTATTATAATAACAAATGCTACTGTGACCCCTCTCGTTGAAAGTGCAAAATCAGCCTGCTCCTGGTTCAGGGGGTTGGCGGCCGGATCGAAGTTGCAATAGACGCTAATGTTGGTTATCTTGAGTAAAATACCTTGACAATAGTGTAATTTCTACGCAAATTGCAACTATTTTAAATCGATTAAAAGTTTCATTGACCAATAGCATAGTTGAATTTACCCCCAAATACCCCGGATATAACAAAATGCCAATAAAGAAACAATACATTGAGCAAAAATAATATTAAATGATTACTGATCACTTCACTTTACAACGGTATAAAAATATTTGCGGTACTGAACAAAAATGAAATGAGCTCGAAATTGGTAATAGGTGGGGTTAACTAAATAGAAAGCAAAAAGAGAATTGGAAACACAGATTTGTGACGCAGTTAGGAAGTGTTTCGAAATAACATGATCTGCACTGTGACGATTTGAAGCATTTGAATTGGTGGTGAATTAACTGTGCCGTGTTCTACTCGCATTCGTTTGTCTACAAAATAAATTAAGGAAAAGTGATTAAAGCACGAAATGATTTAACCAATTTTAAAGATGTCCGTAGTGTTGGTAATAAGTCACACGTGACCATCTAAATGAAAACTTGAATAGGTGCAAACAACGAGGTAATGGAACGCTTTCATGATATATAATTTGCACTTTAACAATCCTCTAGAATTGATAAAGGAACAAGCTGAAGTTGCACCTCTAGTTTCACGAGGCAATAACAAATCGCGGGCAGTAAACTGTGTTTTAGCAGGAAATTCGGAGGATAAACAATGTCTGATTATGTAAAGGTCTACTGTCCCCTCATCTACGTGCGAGAATTGGTATTAAAAAACACGCTAAACGTTTTACTTTAACGATTGGAATCACATCAATCACCTCGACTGTTGGCGAAGCTGAACAAACAAAATCATAAAACATAATTATAAAATTCATCACAACTGAAGGGTATATGAAACAGTGGTACAACAGATTTATAATTCTGGTAAAAATATATAGAAAATTGTAATCAACTGAAATTGGAAAAGAATACTCACTATGATGGAGTAAGCTATTTTTTGAAACTTTGTTTCAATCATCTCACATGAGCTTGCATGAATAGGAATTGTTACTTTTCGTGATTCGTAAATATTGAGTAGCAAAAATTCAAACATGGAGCTATGGATTCTAGTTTTTGAATAAGTTAATTCAATGCTATAGAATTTTATTTGACTAAAAGATATATATATATATATATATATATATGTAAGCCTAGCGAAATAAAATATTTTCCTTAAATTGTTAGAATCCCAGCCTCTAAATTTGTGATTATGTGACTTTAAGCTTGCTCAAGACTTTAACAAAGAATTTCTTGATGTTGTCTAAATTTATCCTACCTTCTAAAATATTGGCAAGAAAATTAAACTCCTGGATATTTCAAATCATTCTGTGGGTTTATGAGAATTGTAGGAAACATCGGATTTCAATTTCTGATACTGTTTGGTCACAAAATCAGGCAGCGATGGTGTTTTCAAATCATGAACAGAAATATTCATCGAAGAGTTGTTGGGAATCCACCAACTGCTGACATCAGCGATTCGAGTAACTCGAAAACGCGAAAATGAAGAAGACTGTTTGGTCATATTTGAAGTGAGCCTTGAAGCTTCTTCGGGCGAAATAAACCCGAATCCATTGACCAAAAGAGTACCAGAGTTGTGTGAAATTGGAGTCATTTTCCTTGTCCGTTTACGTGAAATTTTTCGCATGGGAACTCCAGATCCTTTATGATCACTTGAACTCTTTCGAGTTGGCTGAGGATCTTCTCCTACTTTCTCATGTTTTACACTCAAAAGTATAAAACCGGGATGCTGGTTTTTAATTACTTCTTCAAAAAAGAACCACAATTAAAATTATTTCTTCATACCTGTCGGTGCTTCAGGACTGTCAGCGAAGTCAGTGGCTTGAATATCGGTCTGAATTTGAACACTTTTAGTGTCGGAATCAAAACATCGATCAGATGTTCTATTTAAATGAATATTGCCGTTATAAGGATAAAGAATTAGAAATCTATTGTCTGGTGAATTGGGAACCATGTATCTGATAACTTCTTCATCAGAATAAAACTGTGGTATCTCAAAATGGGATTCGCCAAAAACATATTGTTGATACATGTTCGGAGGACACCCATATAACGGAGTGTGGCCAATTTCCTTGACACCGAAAAAAGGGCTAACCTGTGGGCCTACACTTTCATTCATTTCTACTAAAAATATATCTCTTTTAAAAAGTTTAAATCAAACAACTTGTTAATAAAATTAAATAAATGTATATACCTGCCGTTAAAATAAATTTAAAGATTTGCAGTACATGTATTGAAAATAGTCGATGTTATTCCAGGCGCACATGCGACACGGGAAAACAACCTCCAAGGAATAATTCAAATGACTGCCAATATCATTGCATTGCACAATTTGCGAGAATAAACAAATCACAAGTTCACAAAGAATCGCTTTTAACTTGAGTTTCAAAAATGTAAAAGCACTTAATATTAATTTTATTCTTGATTTAAATTTTAAATATGCTATGTTTTGAATATTTTCTTTCGATTATGTTTTTGTTTAAAACATCAGTATACAATTTTGTCATGGCCGCTGATTTTCTTATATTGTGCAATAATAGTAGCTTTAGTTTGGTCAGCCATGTGTATCAAAATAATTCTAGTTAAGTTTCCAAATGATATTTTTTAAAAATCCACTATTATTACTGGTTCACCTGACCAATTTCCATTTTAATACATTCAGGTCTTAACTTTTCTTTTTATGCGCCATGAAGTTTATTAAAATATATTCAATGACTAAATTTTTCAGCTTTTATTATAAGGCCACTTTTTGGGTTAAAAACCTGTATTTTTGATCTTCCGCGGTAAGAGAATGTAATTCTAATAATCCTTTTAATAGTCAAACTTAAACTGTGTTATTACCTATTCACACCAACAATTTTTGAATGAGCTAACTCTGATTTTTAAGATGAGTATACTGACCACCGCAACACCAGCGCACGAAGTATATCCTATAAAATAAGGCTTTGTTCACGACATTTAGCATAAAATATTGACACTGTCAAAACGTTCTTTATTTCCACTTTTATTTATAAAGGCTACAACTGCTAAAGATTTGTATCCCTAATTTCATGAATTACTAATAACTATGATTTTTATAAAAGCTTCATTAATGGTGTCTCATTGACGTAATGTTTTCATATGACAGTTTCAAACCAAAGACCGTGGAATGCTAACAGTGCTAAAATAATTTTCTTATTATTTAAAATAGATGGATTATGATATTTATCTTTAGCTTCTTAGTTGACTACTGGCTTCCCTGTATCTCTGGGTTTCTGTAGTTGTCTTTAGAACTGGGCACCGAATCAGGTGGGTCTGCTCCATTTCCTCCTGTAGGTCACATAGGGGGCATATTGGCTGAATGTGTACTCCTTCGTAGTGCTAATATAAAAAATTGATAAACACGATTTATCCGAATTTAGTTATTTCTTAGGGTTTTGTTATATTTTTTCCTGTTGATGTCTTATTGTAGCATTTGGCGGTAAAATAGCAAACAACATTGAATGTTAAAAATATGAATTATGGGCTGTCTGAAAACTAAATAATCATAATACAAAATAAATGTGGAACTTTTGTTTACACAGGAAAGAGGTCTGATGAGACACCATATTGACATATATAATTGTTTACTATACGATTATAGACCTTTCAAAACTTGGAATTTGACCAAAAATATTTTGGAATATCAATCAGAAATGATAGGGAATCGGCTTGTTGTTCATAAAGACTTCAGTTTATTTTCACTCAAAATATATGACCGGTGCTCTTTGATAACAAAGAAATGCAAGGTAAACCTACAGGGTTATTTAACGAAATTTGACATAAAATGGTACAAAAACGACTATTAAATGAAAATTCTACCGAATCTCGATGGAAAGAATATTGAATTACAGCGCGGTCAATTTTAACCTCTATTTATGCTTTTATCCCATTAGATTACTAACTAAATTTTTGTGTCGTTGCAGGAGAATTAAAAGTACAATGTACATGGTACCAGGTAAGTGATGAGAGCACTTGAGGTTTAGTTTAGTGAACTTTTTTAGGGTATCATGGGTAAAAAAGAGATTTTAAGGAAAGCGTTTAATAAAAGAGAAAATTTATGCCTTATAAAGTGTAAAATAACAATTTATTGGTAATTAAGAGTGAAATACATATTTTTGTTCCAGTGTGCACAGCACTGGTACTTGTCATTAACTTTAGGTAAATAAATTTTATTTACTAACGCATTTTTTGTCATTGAGTTTTTGGATTTATGGCCATTTTTGAGGCCAATTAGGCTTAACAAAGGGACTAGAACACGAAACTTATGCTATATACAACGCCGAAAATCGTAGAGCATTTGATTTCTCACTAAAAAATGTATTATTAGCAATTGACACGATGTTTGAAACCTTTTCGGCAGAAGAAATGAACTTTTCCTAAACTACTTAAATTAAAAATGTAATTATATTTAGATTACTTCTACTGACTGTGTTCTTCCTACTCCTGATAAAAAATGTCTTCTATCTCAAGTCGCCCTGTTGCTCTTGGTGAATCTTCGGTTCACTCGGTCGCTGAAAATATGAAGCTGGACACATCAGCTGGAAACAGTGTAAAAGCGCGGAATTCCGCCCATTCTGTGTAATTTTCCATCCCTGAAATCGTTCTATCAAGAGTGATATCTGGACCTACCCTGCTCAATCATCAATCAGTCCTGGACTCTTCCTTGTTTGAACACTAGACAAATTAACTATGCCACTAAAAGGAGAAAAGGAAGGTTGTAATATTCTCAGAACTCTTAACTCAGTCTCCACAATGCTTTTGACAGTGCAACCGCATTCGAACTAAACCAAAGCTAATTTTCCGCCCAAAGTGTTTGATCAAAAATTAAAATGAACCCGATGAGACTATCTTTTTTAGCTTATTTCTTGCATTATTGGGACAATGGCAGAAGTGATTAGACAATAGGCCGACAGGAACAGGAAAATGGCAGCACTTTTTTCTTTCAAGGATCCCTTTTTCGCACTCAGATTAATGTGCCTTAGTGACGCAGTAATCCCAATCTTGTTGTGCCTCTTGGAGAAATTTTCCAACTAGTCCTGTTAAATCCGTATTCAAAATGGCTTGGAATTGTACCTATTAAGTTTACCCATGATGTGGATGAACGACTTGGCAGCGCACTACAGATTGACCGTCGACAACAACTTCCTACGAAGTATGACCTCACCGAGCTCTGAAGATACATTATGTTATTTTGACGATGATCACGCACGTAAATTGATATGGCTGTTTTGAGAGTTTTCTTGACTAACTAGAGTTGGGTGGGACACTTTGAATTAGGGCTTTGTAGATCGTCCTTGATGTTCACACCTAAACCTTTTCACTTAAAGGTGTCGTCAAACTGCCTGTCCATTTGATTTCGATTGATGTGGTGGAGATTAGACTTGGTTGATATTATGACCCTAACAAAGTTCTTGGCTGGAGCCGGTAGTCTATGAGTTGAAAATGTACCAAGAAAGGTATCGATTAGCATGGCAGTTGTGGTGGACTTCTATGGAACAGCTTCGGACCACGTAGAGTGCGAATCTACCACGACAAGGTATGAGACACAATTGGAAGGTTAAACAAAAGCTAAGTGTATATGAGATCATGGAGCAACAGTGAATATGTTCCTGATTTGGGAGAAGAATGATCACTTCCTGTTATTTAGAAAATCTTTGGACAACTCGCTCAATAACCTTATCCATTCCAGGTCAATATTCAAACATTCTTACAATGGATTCCATTAATCTAACGCCTGGATGACTGCCACTAAACCGGGTGCTAAAGGAATGACGAAATGATTGGCAAACGTATGCTCCAATCGTATTGTTACGGCGTCTTTAAAGTTGCAGGCGATCGGCCTTTGGATTGATTTTTGTCCTCCTAGACCTAAATATTTTGCCGCCACGTCTTGTATATCGGTTATTGTGATTAAAAGTCTGCTGAAAGCATTGAATAGTGGACGCTGCATATTACCTTTTATAGTCTTACCTGCAACAACTCTTTCCTCATCAGGATATTTCTAGTTTTAGATGAGACGAAAAAGACATTCAGCTTTTTTGGAAACCTATAATGAACTCAAAGCCAGGAAAGGGGATTGATCAATGCTGAAGTCGAAATGCAGTGTAGAACGGAATAGCATTATAGCATTCAAAGACAGAGAAGTGATTTATGATTCGACAACAGATTATTTTATGGAATCTTGTAGCAGTAAGGCTGGTCTTGGCCCTACAATTTGGTCTTTTCCCTTACGATGTCTGAGAGAGAGAGCAAAGAATCTGGAATGATGTTTCTCAGTTTACAAATATAGCATGGAAGATATGAGATCAATAAATGAGTTAAGTCTTCACAGAATTAATAAATAGAAATATTAGATATATGCTCTTCTTCAGTGAAACTGCCTTAGTGATAAGGAAAATTAAATTCATCAGGTTTGAGTTGAAGTTGAAGAATATATTTCAAGCACTAAGTAAAACACACTACTTTGAAGCTTATATCTGACACTTAATATATGAGATGAATTCCATAGTTAATTCAACCTTCCTTTAAGAAACATATTTCCTCTTTGAATTCATTTAAATTTTGGCTTTGTGGAATTTACAATTTATGCAATATTAGTGCTTTCTATGCGGGGTGCGCGATAGACTTACCTCCTCGTGGTGCACCCTGGACAACGTATTTTCTTACGGCAAAAAAGTCTATCGCTCGGCATTCGTTTTTGACTTCGATTAATTATGATTAGCTTTAAAAAAGGCTATAAGAAAAATCACCCTAGTCAGGGCGAATCACTACGTCTTCAGATCCTCCAGTGGAATGCTGGAGGAATGTCTCCGGCCAAAAAGATCCAAATACAGAAAATCCTACAAACCTATGATGTAGACATCTTCACAATTATGGAAGCTAACATTTCGGATGACAAACTGAAGTATTACCAATTCCCAGGTTACACCCTGTACAATCTACCTAAATACCCGCAAGTTGCAAGTGGAATTCTAACTGGAGTAAAAGATGGCCTCACCTCACACTACGACCTAATCAAGAGTATGGGCTCGACACAAGACAAATGTGAAATAATCAGATTAAATGTTTGGAAATGTCAAAACCAATTCAAGATATATG